TTTTAAAACAAATCGGTTAAATGATTTATTATTTACGTAAATGCATATTGATAATTTATCTTTTACCATTTATATTTTAATGTAAGTTAGTAAAATTGTGTTAAAATTGGAAATATTCATCATACATTTTTTAATATCTTTATACTGGTGTGTGGTCGAAGAAAGAAAAGGGAGATAAAAATATGAAGCACATAGTCACACAATTACCAATATTTAATAACTACTATGTTGCTTGAACATTTGGGCCAGTAATGTTGTCTTTYGTTAAAGCTGATAAAATTAAATTGCGGCTCTGATTACTCACGGTTTTTGGAACGTCCACCGTAGCTACATGACCATCTTTATTCACCCTGTGGAGGTACCTCACGCCCAGTGGTAGCATTTTATTCTGGACCGTCACGTCAATGTCGTCATCAATAAAGTTGTTTTCGTATACCGTAAATTTTCTAGTAAAGTTTCCTTCGATGATTTTAATTTCATCGTACACGACTCTCGAATCTCCAATTATTTCTTTCGTCAAGTCCTAAATTGAATATTAATATAGCATTATAATAAATGTACATAATATTATCTTACAATGAATGGAATAAGGGACACTCATTTTGATTATTTGTATGTAACGAATGACAAGCTCAAAATACAATTAAGATTCAAGACACCCGGATCAATTATAGAAAGTGCATAGGGGTGTAACACGAATGCACGAATGTGTTATAATTCTGTCATTGGACCTAAAATTATATACGATAGAGTATTGATCGTTCATATTTTTGTGCATTAATTATTAATGATTGTTGTAATATAATGAAACATATTGATAAAAAAAAATTTTTAATTGTAAATGTATATATTTTTTTTTTAATCTATCTGTTACGTARTACAATATACTATATGAATGATGAGCTGCACAACTGTAAATATAATACATTATAATTTATAAGGCTCCCGGTTATAAAGTTACATAAAAATAATAATTGAACACTTGATAATATTTTAAAACTACCTCCCTTATTTTATAGATTTTTTATGAATTAATTTTAAGTAGTTATAAATTATATTTTTATAATATAGTTATTTGTACATTTTTTAAATATAATATGTTTTTAATAAATATATGAGCAGACTTTAACAAACATTTCTTTTTAGTTTCATCTTAAATTATCTGGAAAAGTTTCGATTTAAAATTCAATAATTATTGAATTTGAATATTAAGACATTAAGTACTAATTTAATGATGGTTTTTGAAAAATTTGTCATGGAATTTTACTATTTCAGTCACAGATAAWAGATTTCGCGATCTTAAACATGAACATGCATTATTGAATCTATGATCATCATTAATTTCAGAATTTTAGTTGACTTGGCTAGAAAGCAATTATTGGTAGGTATATGCTCTGTACCTAGTCTGTACGTATTCGGCATYGGGTACAATTATTCTATAACAGCGAACTTACTTCGTATTTGAACTCGAACCTACCGACGTGGTACTTCTTGTCGATAGGGAAATGCAAAAGTATTTCTCCTACGTTCARTATGCTGACTTCTTTCAGCGTCTTGGTTTTAGTAGCGTTCATCAGAGCACTATTGTGCGGCCAAAACACCTCAATATGTCGATGAAAGTTCAATCTGTCGAAAGCACACTACCGTTGTAATATTATTGTAACAAYAGTTTCCGGTCTCAGAAGCCGGATGTGTTTACAAGCTTAAAAGTTAATTATATATTACGAGGTTGTGTCTGCAATGATGCGCAACGCAAAGTACGGAATGTTGACAAACGGCGTAGTTGTGTTAATGAACGATGTGAATTGGTCGAACGACTCGAAGATCACCATTGCTGATGTGATCTTGATTTCCGGTGGGTAAAATACTTCCAAACTGTAAATGAAAAAGATATATATATATTATATTAACATCTATAAAATGTTTTGTTCGTAACGTATATGCGCAAGTAGAGAATTAAATCAACCTATAAGCTTGAGCAGTTGAGTCAGAGCAGTTCTTTAATGGAAAGCTCAGTGTTGRAATTAAAACAAAAAATTCGTTTTCAGTGAAACGGACTATATGACCTACGCTAGTCTATATTATTCTATGGTATAGACTCTCTGCTTTTTATAAAAAGTCAAAATAATATTATCAATTTATATTTTTTACTACTTATTTTAATTAACTATGGTCTATTGAATGATGAACAATTTAAGACATTTCGTGATGATCATGTATTATGAACATATTTTTAACTAATTTAAGTACATTCACAGGGCATATTCAAAATTAATGTAACTTATTTATTGATAATAAGGTGCTTAATTTTCACTGGGGAAGGTTTAATTTCTCCTCTCCKCAGGCCCCCATTCTAATTGTACTTATACGATAATTTACTGGTTCTATTAATTTTATTTGTGATTTCATTATTTATTGTCATCACCACTATTTTTTATGCAACTTATAGAAGTATTAATCTGAATAAAAATGCATATATTATCTGACTGAAATTACTAATTTATATACAAGTAACCAACACATTACCTGCCCATACGTATTTCATATATGTATTTTAATTACATAGATATATTTTATAGACGATAATTGATTTTAAAAAATTTACACTATATGGAATAATTTATTTATATGAAATTTTATATATTGTCGAATGCCATGAATGTCTATTAATTAAACAAGCATTTTTGAATTCAATTGTTATTATTATTGTAATTATATCTTAAATAATATGAAAACAATTTCAAAAATCAAAGTTAAATATAAAAATGTCAATGATAATCTTTAAACTTTTTTTTCTAATAATTCTAATTCTTATAATAT